TTGGACTTCTAGCCTCTAGAACTGTGAGAAAATAAATTTTTATTGTTTAAGCCAGGGGCGTGTGTGCGTGTGTGTGTGTGTGCATGCGTAAATTTAGAACATATGACAACAGCAGTAAAAAAAGTCAGGATGGGGATAAACAGAATAAAAGATTCTAAAATCCAAGTATTATCTAACTACTCGGGAGATGTTGATTAATATTAAACCTCGATAATTTGATTAATGATATAGTTTTTAGGATAATCAATACGTAATAGAAATATACACAATGCAGGACTTCCAAAATGGTAGAAGAAAAAATATGAAAGGACAAAATATACTCAACAAGCCTAAATGAAAGCAAGCAAAGAGAGAGAAAGAAACATGAAAAAGGTAGGAAAATAGCAAGATAAAATGTTATATTTACATTAAAATACAATACTAATCATATGTAATATGAATGGACCAAATATTTCAGTTAAAAGACAAAGATTGTCAGATTTAAAAAACCAAAAGTAGCTGAGCATAGTAGCATCCTAAGTAGCTGAGGTGGGAGGATCACTTGAGCCCAGGAGGTTGAGAGCAGCCTGGGCAAGATAGTGAGACTTGTCTCTTAAAAAAAAAAAAAAAGCAAAAGCAAATTGTGTGCGTTTTGTAAGAGACATATCTCAAACTTTAGATACAGAAAAGTAGCAAGTCAAAAATGGGAAAAGAAAGTATGCAAATATCTAAAAGATATCAAACAGACAATGTATAGAAATAGAACAATTAACACAATTCACAAGTTTGATCTTATAGACATGTTTAGAAAATAGCACCTTGAAATTGCAGAATTACACATTCTTTATAAGCACACAAAGGAAACATGTTAGATTTTTCCATTTTAAGCTACAAATGAAGTAATCTCAAATTTCAGATTATATAAAACATGTTTTCTGGTCACAATACAATTAAAGTAGATATAAATAAGAAAGAGATAACTAAAATTTTCCTATGTTAGAAATCAAGAAATATACTTTCAAACTCATATTTCAAAAAAGAAATCATAAATTAGAAAATATTTTAAACTGAATGATAACAAGGCATGACATATTAAATAAAATGTGGGAATCAGCTAAAGCAATACTTAGAAGGAAATGTATAGCCTTAAAAACAAATGTTGGAAAAGTAGAAAGGCTAAAAATTAATGAGCTAAGGTATGTCTCAAGAAGCTAGTGGAACAGCAAAATAAACTAAAAGAAGCAAGGAAATAAGAAAAATCTGAAGTAAAAAAGAAACATACAATACAGGGAATAAAACCAAAAGTTGTTTCCTTGAAAATTGAAAAACTTCTGTCAAGAGCAATCAAAATGAAAAAAAGGCACAAATAATATCAGAAACTTTAAAAAATTGGACATCAATAAAGATCCCAGAAAAATTTCTGCCAATATAAAAAAATGACAATGCTTATTAATCTTATGACAATAAGTTTGGAAAATTAGGTAAAATTGATTGATCCCTGGTAAATATAACAAGAAGGAATAGAAACCTTGAAACTCCTAAAACCTTTGAGAAATTGAATTTATATTCAAAAATCTTCCCACAAAAAAAAAAATCCAGATCCAGATGGCTACAGTAACCATATTCTACCAATTTTTCAAGGGAGAAATAATATTTAACTTTACAAAAATTCTTCCAGAAAATGGAAAAAGATGGTATGTTATTCAATCCTCTTATGATTATAGCATAACCTTGACAACCAAACCAAACAAGAACAAGATTAGAAAGGAAGACAATAGGCCTGTTCTATTCATAAACATAAATCACAAACAAAATATTAACAATATGGATCCAAGTTGGATTTATGCTAGGAATGCAAGGTTGGCTTATACATTAGAAAGCTGATATAATTTATCACAGTGACAGACTGAAGGATTATGCATATTGGATGTCCTAAGCAGTGCAATAAGATAAGAAAAAGAAAATATGTAAGGATTGAAAATGATGAAACAAATTCATTGTATGTGGAAGATATGATGGCATAGATAGAAAATCTAAAGGAATTTATATATAAATTATTAGAAGTTAAAAATTTTTGCAAGCTTGCTGAAAACAAAATATACCAAAATTCATTGTATTTCTATATACCAGAAGCAGTTGGAAAACAGTTTTAAATAACATTTTAAAATTCCAAGCACTGAGTTGCACATTCCTGTCAGATAATGGCAGCTGCCTAAATCTCTCCACACCGTCTTCAAAATCCATACATACACACACAGACACACACACACACACACGCACACAATTTAAAATTATGACTAAAACCACCCATATCCCATCTACAGAATAACCAGAAGACAAAAAGTACTATATGTTTATGAGTAGAAAATAAACATACAAATCTAGCCAGCCTTGCTCCAGAGAGAAACCCTGTCTCAAAAAAAAAAAAAAGAAATAAGAAAGCAAATGTTGGAAATTAATTGTCCTATAAAAACAAAAGTGAATCACGAAAACACAAGACCCACAAACCTCTTCCGTCCCATCTATTAAGTAAATTGCACTTCCATTTATCAACAGTAGAGGGTACTCCTGGCTAAGAGTACCTAGTAAGCCATCCAGCCCTCCTGTCTGCCTACATAAATCACCTCTTATTGGCTGAAACAAGAAACTGTAAGGAATTTCTAAGTGAACAGAAAATAGCATATGAGGCAGATGATATTAATGTTCTTGAATTTTTATTCCCTCTTTCCTTGAAAACCTCATCAACTTTAGGCATGGCCATGTGACCCATTTTAATCAATAGAATGTGATTGCACATGACATATACCACTTCCAAACAGAAGCTTTAAATGTGATTTTCTGTTTGACTCACTCTCTTGTGCCTCTGCTCCAGGCTCCAGACTTTGAGCCTCTAGAACTATGAGAGAATAAGTTTCTTTTGTTTTAAATGCACTAAGTGTGTGGTGAATTTGTTACAGTAGCCTTAAGAATCTAATACTAACACAAAGAATGTTAGAGTTGAATTAGAAGTGTCAGTGAGAACTTAGGAATTTTTTTAAAAGTATATTCTTAGCACTGTTCACAGTGCAGTAATAATGAGCCCATGTCATGGCCATATCTTGGTCTCTAACTACCATTTCCCAGTAAAAAGAATCTGAGCTCCTTAGAGAAATGACTTTTCCCAAAGCTGGAGCAAGGAAACTGCCAATGGGGTCATGTGAAAAGAACACAGAAACTGGCCTGAAGGGCTTCCTGTTGGCCAGATTTGAGACCATTTGAGCATCTGAAGAAATAATGAGGGTAATGGATCATAATACGTATAATAAAGACTACAGAAGTTCATAATAGTTTTTTAAAAAGTAAAAGGAGAAGGGAAGCTTTTCTTCACAGAAGAATTCCAGCTGATAAATGTAGAAGAAATGACAAAATTGGAAAATCACTTTTCAACCATCAGTATACTATTGAATACTTGTAAGGAACTTTGATGCTAATATCATTGGATAAAAGCTTGTTGCGAAACAGAATATTTGAATGGTCTGAAAGTCTCACCCCACAGATTGTTAGGAAAGTTACCTTTATAAATACAGAGATTAGGTAGACATCTTAACCAAGTGATCAAACAGTATCATCAATAATGGGACAATCTGGCATTGCATGTCCCCTGATTTAATGCAGTAAGGATTAAGTCTAACAAAAAATGTACAAAGCCTCCAAATACACCATAAACATTTGTAAAATAATCTCAGAACAGGTACCTTAATGCTTCTCAAAAGCTTTATCAGACACAGAACTTTATTTCTATAGATGTGTATGGTATATTTGCCATGCTATATACATTATACTATATATTCTAGTTGCCTTGAATGACACGTTTTGAACATTCAGATCTTCATTTTTCCAAACATCCACCCAGTTATAGGTGGCCTTTGCTCCGAAGTCCTGGAGTAGCCAGATGCCTTGAGTCTTAGACTGTCTTCCCACTTCTTTCTTCCTTCTGCACCCTGTCCTGCCAAGGTTGCCCAGCCGCACTAAATTATATGCGTTACTGTGTTGCATTCATTATTATTCTAAAGTTGTCACCAACATGTGTGAAACCAGCTCATCTAACTAATAATGATAGCTACCATTTTCTGAGCTCTATGTACTCTTCTTGCCACCACAAATGCATTGACGAGAGAGTCTGTTGGCCAAAGCCTGACTCTTACCTCCAGGTAGTCCAACACAGGTGCTCCGTGTGACTCAGGACAAAGCACTTAATGTCACTGAGGTTGGGGAAGTGGGTGAGAACATTCTAGATATAAGGCCTAGTTAGAGTGAAGGCCTCCAAAGTAGGGTGCTCTTAATTCTAGATGTCCCTGATCCGTGGGACAGAATCATCTAGTCCTCTCCCAGGGTTTAATCCTGGACTCCTGGAAACAACTAGAAGTGAGAAAAGCGTCCTGTCAGACAGCCAATAAATGCTATCTTTCCTCTTTCAGATTTTTCAGGGAAATCAAGACTCCTTCACACCTGTGGTGAACTCGCTAGACCCACCATTACTGACACGATACCTTCGAATTCACCCCCAGAGTTGGGTGCACCAGATTGCCCTGAGGATGGAGGTTCTGGGCTGCGAGGCACAGGAGCTCTACTGAGAGTGGCCTCCCTGGCTTGCCTTCTACCTTTCTGCTGATCTTTAGGTTACTTCCTGCCCTCACATTGTCCATGCAGACACTGCCTTGAAGCCTCTCGAATTAACTATCATTAATCCTACATTTCCTTGATAGGGGGTGGGGAGGGTGCATCCAATTTAACTTAACTCTTACCTATTTTCTGCAGCTGCTCCCAGCTTGGTCCTTCCTTCCAATGTAACTAGGCAAAAAGAAGTGGAGAAACCTGCATGGAAAGCATTCTTCTCTGACAACTTTGGTTTCTCATAGTCACCACTTGCTCTGTTGTAGAAAAACTATATGATGAAAGTTGGAAGAAGATATTCATTATGTAAGCATTTCAGATTAAGCTTCATACATTTAAAATAAAACTCTCAGTTGTTTATTTTACTAGTCAAGCATGGAACAAAACATGTTGCAGGATAAGATCAATACAGTCTTGAAGTCAAAAGGCAAATCATTTGGACAATCTGGAAAATGGAGTTAATACAACTACTGCATTAAAGTCTGTTTTTGCTTCCTTACACATAGATAGAATTATGTTAGTCAGCTTGAGGCATTGTGAAGGCCACATTACTATCTCCAAAACTAGCATTCTTAAACTGAGAATCATTGATGGGGTTCAAGAATCCCTAAGTCCCCTGAAATTATATAAGACATTCTGTGTAAATGCAAATATGCATTTTTTCTGATGAGTGTCCATAGATTTAATCTCAGAAAGATGTAAAGCCATTTGGTCTTAATTCTGACCAATAAAAAATAGGTCAGGAAGATGGAATCGTTGAAAGCTTTGAAATGAAATAACAATGTCTTCTTCAAATTTGTGATGGCCAACAAAAAAATGATAATGATAATAGGCTTCTAAAACACATATATTTAATATTTATGTGTAAATTGAGGAAAATACATGGTTGTCTGAGATAGGAGATACAAACTTTATAATTCTAATAATGCACTCAGCTTACTCTCTCCCTCTCCTAATTTCCTGATGAAAACAACAAAAATGTAACAGGGTAAATTTTATACCATGATTGAAAATTAGAGTGCCACTTACATAGTTGAAATATCAAGGAGGTCAGAAGAAAATTGAACTGCTGAAAACAGAAAAAACAGTCCAGTCTGCCATATCACCACACAATAGGATCCCCCATCTTGCTCTACACCCCCATAAGATTGCTCCTTCCATCTGCCTGACCCCTTCACTATGACCACATAACATCCCCTGATAGTAAAGGGGGCTGGAGGCAAGGATAAGTTATAGAGCAGCTGGAGGAAGCATCTGAAGATTGCAGCCCAGGGCAATTTGGAAACAGGAGATTCTAGTATGAAAGAAAAATGGATGCCAATCTGAGAAAAGGCAAAAGAATGGCTGCTTTTTTCTATGCTGGAGTATTTTCTAATAATCCTACTTGACCCTGGTCTGACCTCTTTGGGGACTATAACATAGCTCTCACAGTATGGTCACCATCCACAAATGATGAAGGTGCAAATGGTTTATAGCTCTGTAAAGTTCTTAAAGGTTAGAGGTTAATTTACAGAAATGAATAAGTTGTTTTGTTTTATAGCCTGGTAGAGGAGTTAACCCCACAGGTGATATTGTTTTATTTCCTGTGAAAGATTAACCACTCTTATGATTAATTTGATAATCTTGTTTTGGCATTCTTTTCCCATTGACTATATACATCTCTATTTCTCAAATTCTCTTTTTATCTTTTATCTTCCTGATGGTTTCTTCAGTAATGAGCTAAATAAAACATTTACACATACAAACGAATGCTTTTGAGAATTGTGTTTTTACGCTGGAAATAAAAATGTGAGCACTGATATTTTTAAAACAAATAGGGGCACTGAATAGCAAGGTGGACACTCTAGAACACCAAATTAGTGAGTTAGAAAACCAGATTAAGTTGAACTCTGAGTAAAGAACAATATATAATTCATGAGAGGCTGAATACAATAAATCAGAAATGGAGCCTCAATCTAGGAGAACAGCTGATATACAGAGAGAGAGACTGAGAGAGAAATGGGAATTTCTGTTCCATAGGTACAAACTTTCAGTTATGCTTCTGGGCACGGTGGCTCACGCCTGTAATCCCAGCACTTTGGGAGGCTAAGGCAGGCGGATCGTCTGAGGTAAGGAGTTTGAGATTAGCCTAGCCAATATAGTGAAATCTTGTCTCTGCTAAAAATACAAAAAATAGCTGGGCATGGTGGCACATGCCTGTAGTCCCAGCTACTTGGGAGGCTGAGGCACAAGAATCACTTGAACCCAGGAGGCAGATGGACATTGCAGTAAGCCGAGATCATGCCACTGCACTCCATCAGCCTGGGCAACAGAGTGAGACTCCATCCCAAAAAAAAACCAGTTTCAGTTATACAAGATGAATTAAGTTCTACAGATCCAATGTACAACATTGTGCCTATAGCTAAAGATACCACACTGGGCACTTAAAAATTTGTTAAGAGAGTAGATACCATGTTGTGTTCTTTACTACAATTTTACTGCAATGCAAAAATGCATTGTATGCAAATAGAATAGCAAAGAATGTATGCAATGCCCATGAGCATAACATTCTAGTGGACCCACAACGCACTGGAGTTCAGTGAGATTCAAAGGGAGAAGAATGTTAACAAAGTCAGTGGGGAGGGGAAAATGAGCATGATGAAATAGGTGGTCCCATCAAACTTCCCTTACAAAACACAAGTTCAAAGATAAAATTTTAAAAAAATAAAAAAAAATAAAAGAATTTCAATACAGTGACATCAAAGCAAACAAAACATTAGGGCCCCTCAGGGTGTGGGGCCCTGTACACCTGCATAGATCAAACTCCCAGGAAGCCAATCCTGAGTCACAGGCAAGCTGGTACTTTTGGTCATCCTACTAATAGTCATGTGAGTGCATCATCTTGGAAGTGGATCCCACAGTATAGTCAAGCTCTCAGACGACTGCAGCCCCAGCAGATATGTGACTCCAATCTCATCAGAGACCCAAGCTAACCACTGAGCTAAGCCACTCCAAAATTCCTAACCTACAAATAATATAATATAAAATGTTTCTTTCACAGCTGCTAAGTTGGAGGTAATTTTTCATGCAGCAAAACGTAACTTATATGGCAGCCATATTCTTTTTACAATGGAAAAGTCAGACAGGCTCATCTGCAGCTTATTGACATTGTCACTATTTTGTGGGATTACCTTGTTGGCACAGGACAGTGACCAAGTTTGCAGATCCTCCAGCTCCTGCTGGACCTTTTAGCTTCTGCAAATCCTAGAAAAGGTGTGTGTTTAGCTCTTTGAGGAAGCACATGACCTTCTCATGCACGTCATGCCAGTATCAAAGTTAGAAGCTTGGAGATGATATGAGACCAATGTAGGTTTTAGTCCATCTCATGGGCTCTTCTCCCTTCAGGCTTCCAGTGTATACTTGCTTTCTCCACTTCACTTCACCTTTCCCTCCACATATGAGGGTTTGGAGGAATTTGGCTCAAGGGCCAGGGCCAGTGTTTTTCAGTGTTTTGGGTCACAACCTGGATACCTTTATCAGCACCTGGGAGTGTTCAAGGTCCCAATTTTCATTCAGGCCTGCTGGAGAAAACTCTGCTGGCTGGGTCACAGAATGGTCAACCCACTCCATGATTTTCTATCGTGACCCAGCAAGAAACTGGGAGAGATTGGATGACTCTACAGAAACCTTCATTTTGTATATTTTGTGGTGGCTCTGTTTTCTGATAGAACCCTAATTTTTTTCTAGGGGAGGGATAGCAGGGGCTGAGGGGATTGGGATGGGATAACACTAGGAGAAATACCTAATGTAGATGACAGGGGAATGGATACAGCAAACCACCATGGGATGTGTATCACTATGTAACAATCCTGCACGATCTGCACATGTACTCCAGAACTTAAAGTAAAATTTTAAAAAAATTTTTATTTTATTTTTTGTATAGACAGGATCCTGCTATGCTGCTTAGGCTTGATTTGCATTTTTATAACTTCAAGTTCTGGGATACATGTGCAGAGCATGCAGTTTTTTGTTTTGGTTTGGTTTTTTTGTGGGGAGGGACGGAGTTTCGCTCTTCTTACCCAGGCTGGAGTGCAATGGCGCGATCTCGGCTCACGGCAACCTCCGCCTCCTGGGTTCAGGCAATTCTCCTGCCTCAGCCTCCTGAGTAGCTGGGATTACAGGCACACACCACCATGCCCAGCTAATTTTTTGCATTTTTAGTAGAGACGGGGTTTCGCCGTGTTGACCAGGATGGTCTCGATCTCTTGACCTCATGATCCACCCGCCTCGGCCTCCCAAAGTGCTGGGATTACAGGCTTGAGCCACCGCGCCCGGCGAGCATGCAGTTTTGTTACGTAGGTATACATGTGACATGGTGGTTTGCTGCACCCATCAACCCATCATCTAGGTTTTAAGCCCTGCATGCATTAGGTTTTTGTCCTAATGCTCTCCCTCCCCTTGCCCCCCACCCCCTGACAGGCACCAGTGTTTGATGTTCCCTCCCTGTGTCCATGTGTTCTCACTGGGATAACTATTTTTTTAAGACAGGGTTTTACTGTGTCACCCAGGTGACACACATCCCATGGTGGTTTGCTATATCCATTCCCCTGTCATCTACACTGCACCCAGGCTGGAGTGCAGTGGCACGATCATAGCTCACTGTAGCCTCAGTCTCTCAGGCTCAAGCAATGCTACTGCCTCAGCCTCCTGAGTAGCTGGGACTACAGGCATGCACCACCACGCTCAGCTAATTTTTAAATTTTTTGTAGAGACAGGGTCTTACTATGTTGCTCAGGCTGGTCTCAAACTCCTGGGTTCAAGCTATGCTCCTGCCTCGGCCTCCCAAAGTGTTGGGATGACAGCCATTGTGCCCAGTCAGAACTATTTATTTTAAATTAGTTTGTAAGAGTTATTTGTACGTTAACAATCTTAATTGAATGTTTGTTGTATATGCTGTGAAATTACTTAATTTGTCATTAATCTTTTATCTTTTTTAAACAATGTTTTGCTATATGAAAGCTTTACTTTTTGTTATGAATTTATCAGCATTTTCATTTATGGCTCTAGGTATTATGACATGCTTAAAGTAGCTTTTTCTGCACCAAGGTCATACAAATATCCATTCATGGATTATCATAAAATATGATAGAAAATCATACTATCATATTTTATGATAGAAAATCCCATATTTTATATATGATTTTATTTTGTTTTGTCCTTGATCCATCTAGAATTTATATTTTGCATAGCATGGCAAAGGGCTCACACCCAACATCATATTAAATAGTCTCCTTTTCCCCACTGATATAAAATGCCACATTTACCATCTACTAAAGTTCCATATATATGTTATTATAAGGTATAGTTAGATACTATGTAGTGAATAAAATATCTTAGAATTATTCAAGCCTAAGAGGATATACCTACTGTAAGGATGGGTTTTGGTATCAACACAGATGTTTATACATAGACAGAAAATTATGTCTGTGTGCTTAGCTGTCAAATAAGGAGATTAGGGGAGAGTTAAATGGAATCAATGATGTCATAAGGAGTGTTGGAATTCTAATTCAGAGATATAAGGAGAAGACTGACCAGCTTCTTCTGAAGACTTCTGCCCTCTAAAGACTAAGGTCTAATTCCATTGGCTTCTTTGAATTCTTTGGTGCTAAGTGCATTTTCAGGTAAGTGGTTTGCCACTGGACATGGGTCTCTATCAAACAGTAGGTAAGTGTATCAGTTGTTATAAATGTCTTAAGTAATAGGAGTGCAAATTATAATGACTCAAATAAGAGTATATTTTTCTCATATCATGTAGTCCAGAGGTAAGCAGACACAGGTGTTAGTTTAGTGTCTTGAAATTGTCGGGGCAACTTCAGGCAACATGTCTTAAACAATATTCAAAGCAGCATGAAGGGAAAATGGTAGCCTTCCCAAAATAGACCCATCAGATTTCCCTTATGTTTCATTATCCGGAGACATGTTACATAGCCATACTTAACTTCAAGGATGGGTAAGAAAGGGAGGATTCAGCTTTTTCAGCTTATCTACTTGGGTGGATAATGAAAACAGGTGGGAACAATATCTGCCAAAAGTCGCCATTCATTCAAAAAATATTTGAGTACCTGGATACCCTATGTGCTAGGCACAGTTTAGCAGAGAACAAAACAGACAAAAATCCCTGCACTCATAGAGCTTACATTATATCCAGGAGATACGTATAATAAAACAATGTAAAATATATTCTACTAGGCTCTGATAAGGTTTTGGAGAAAAATCAAGTAGGTAAGACAATTAGGAAGTTCGTAGGAGGGTGGTACAATTTTAACAATGGGATCTAAGGAAAATCCTCATTGAGAAGGTGATATCTGAGTACCTGAAGGAGGTGAGGGATTAAATTCTGAGAATACCCGGGGGAAAAGCAATCTCTGGAAAGGGAAAAGGAAGCAAAAAAGCCCCAAGGTAGGAACATGCTTAGCTTGTTCAAGATAAAATGAGGCTAAGTTGGAGACTGGCAGGATGTGCAGTCAGAAGTAACTAGGACATAATCTGACCTTCAACTTACCAAGATCTCTATGGCCACTCACTGGAGAAGAGGCTTAAGGGAGGTAAGGTTGGAAGCAAAAAGACAGAAACGATGGTGGGTACCAGTGGAGGTGGTGTGAAGTTGCAGGATTCTGGACACATTTTGTAAGTAAGGGTGACTAGACTTTTCTGATGGATAAAGTATATGAGAGAAAAAGAAGAGTCATTACTATATATATAAATTTAAACAAGTATTTACTTCTTAAAGCAATATAAAAGTTTGTTAAGTGAATATATAAAATATGGAGTTAAAAATATACAGATATATAGAAATGTATTACATTTGGTCTCTAAAGTAGTCTAATTCATAGAAACAAAAAGTAGATTGGTGGTTACCAGGGGCTGGAGGGGACGGGGAAATTGAGGAGCAGTTGAGAGTTTCAGTTTTGCAAGATGACAACGTTCTAGGTTGCCCAACAATGTGAATATATGGTTTTTTGGCCTGAACAAGTGAAAGAGTTTCCACTAATTGGGTTGGAGAAGATTGAAAAAGGATCAGGTGTAGGAGGGAATGTCAGGCATCTGACCTGATAGAGCATAGTAAGGTTTGGTTTTGTTTTCTCGGAGGGGATACATTTTGCTTTGGAAACTAGCCATGTTCAGGAGTCACCTGTGTAAGTCATTCAACTATCCTTATGTTCGTGATGGGGAGAAGCTTTTCGGAATATGAACTAAACCATCATTGTCTAACTTTTCAGACAAAGTTTCTGTGGAAAGAGCTACGGAAAAAGAAATCTCTCCTTGGTAAACTGAGCTAGATTTACCAGCTCTTCAGCTGCAGCTGAAGGCGGGAGTCCATGGAACCCCAGAAGCTGCTGATAATTGGATTTCTGCTGTGCTCTCTAACTTGCCTCTTGTTGGAGAGAGTAGCTTCTCCTTCGCCTTTGTCTGCCTTGGGAATACAACAAAAACCAGGAGGGAAACGACGCTCAGGGGGTGTGTTTGCTGTTAGGATGAATGTTCCTTTCTTCATAGGACGTGAGGTTTATGTTGCAGGTCAGGAATAATGGATTTCATGTTTAAAAAGAATATTCATAGAAAAACAAACTATTCTGGTTTGGTTAAATTTAGTTCAACAAGCATTAACCTACCTACTATGTACCAAGCCTTTCTGAACTACATGGATTAGAAGTTGAACAGCCTCTGTTATGAAGGCAGGCAAAGCCATAGATGCCAATCTTCTATGGAATATGATCAATGCTCCCAGGGGACAAGGGGATAATTTAAATTGTTTTCGGGGAGGGGTCAGGAAAGAGTTGACAAAGGAGGTGAAATTGAAAATAAACCTGATGGTCCACTGATCCACAATCTAGGTTCCAACATGCACACACTTTCGTTTTTTCCTTAGGGTTTACTTCCTCCCCCACTTGCTAATGAAAAGACCCAACATCCCCAGCGTCACATTGATCAGCACGCTCCCCCCAGAGGTCCTTCTTGCAGTTGCCCTGGCCCCTTCTTTCTCTTCCTGGGATGCTGCGTCCCCTCAGCCTCCTGCCGGACTCCCAGATGTACTCTAGGCAACAGCACTTTAATAAAGACTTGTTATCAATTCATGCTTCTCTTTCAAAAAGTACCCAATATACTCAAAACAACCGTTAAGATTCTGAAACAACAATTATTATTCCTATTTGACTTACAATGAGGCAAAAATTGTACCCAACTCAGGATACTTTCAAAACAAAACGTATGCCCTTTGAACATCTTAGAGGCAGCACAGCAAAATAGTTTAGAATATGGGCTCTGGGCAACTATTTGAACTCGTTTGGATTCAAACCCAGCCCCATTATTTACTTGACCTCTCCTCAGTGAATGTCTATGCCCCTTCTGCAGGTAATCAGAGGTCCTGGCTGAACAACTTCAGGGATTACTTATGGGATCTTATCAAGAGTGCCTTACCTCCAGCAGCCATTGTTGCTTTTTTTCTCACCTCAGCATTAATGGGGATCCTCTGCTGCTTCACGTAAGTTTCTGTGGGAAGAAGAGAGGGGAGAAGAGAGGGAACATGAATGGAGCATGCATATCTGTAATTAAGGGAAAGCTTTGAGAAATTCAATTCTGGGAGGAAAATTGTGAAAGGTCATGCAACCCCCTTTTAAAATGTCTCCCACTTGCCCCATTTGTTACCAATGACTGACAGGTCACATTTAATGACCAGTGTTTACAACTGGTCATTTCTTTTATTAACTTTATTAACTGCTAATTTTTCTTCCCTGTGGCTCAAGAACTACACACAAAAATATATATAATTAGCTGTGCTCTTGATTTCCTGAAAATTTACCATAATGTTTATCTACATAAATTATATGAAGCCAAAGAGAATCCTGAGGAAAACAAAATAGTTAAACTAAATTTTCTTAATTCAGTCAGTATTTACCAACAAATGACTACTTGCCTGTCTCTGTGCTGGTTGCTAGAAAGACAGAAAGAAGACAATTAAAAATTAAAAATTGGTAGGTCAGTGCTAGTGTGGGAGAGAAAGTCCAAGTGGGAGACCTATGAAAGTGATCAACAAATGTATTAAAAGAGATGATATCAGGAAACAGTTGGCCAGTTTGCAAGACAAAATAGAATAAAGAACAGAAATGGGAGGTCCTGCAGGGTTCAGAAATCTAATAAAAGTGGCTGGGTAAAGATCAGATTAAGGGTGTGGCATCACCTATGGCTCCTGTAACCTCAAAATGATCACAGGATCAAGAACTTTGTCTAGGAAGCAACCTTGGATGTGGTTACTGGCACATGGAACTGACTGGAGGCAAATTGAAGTAGCCAAGCTTTTGAGAGAAGCGTATTGCCAGAGAAACCATAAGCCAGAACTAAATGAGCCATTAGTTGTAAATAATAGTTAGGCCTCCAACCTTCCATGAAAAAGAAGGACACCAGCTTTGAGGGTCCCAACATTTGCTTCAGATGCAGCCATAGAGAATAATGGATCCAAAGAGCCTCCCAGAGAGTGGACCGTGGACTACAGAGCTACCCTTCAAAATCAGGATTTGGGCCTAATCGACACCGCTGTGTGTCTCTCATTCTTCCTCTTTCCAATGGGAATGTTTCCTGTTTCATCATTGTTCTGGGGTGTGGAGATCAGGAATAGATAGGTCATTTTAGTTCATAGGTCACTTAACCAACCAGAGCCACCCCCAGAATTGAGAGAACTAAGCATCACCCAGATACTCCAGACTTCGAGCTGGACACTGAGATGAATGGGATTTAGTCCTGAGGAAAGGGTTTGCCCCAAGTCAGGTGTTCTTAAAGTAGACAGGGAGACAGGAATTTGGCATTCAGAGTATTATTAATGATCAACGCCAGTGGAAAATAGGGGGTGGAAGGGAGAAATAAAACTGCCTTGCAGGCCCAACAAAGCCTCAGTCGGCCCCATCAGAGTTGTCCTACATTGGCCTGAAATGGCTCGACCTCTCTAAACCCACCTCAATCATTCACTAGATGTGGGCTGCCCCAGAAAGTACGTGGAAGCTCTCTGCAGCTGAGGCCGACTCTGAATGAACTAACAGATAGAGGCTCTCTGCTGACAACACTCTCGGCATCTAGAGAAATAAGGCCTTTCTCAAGGGGAAATCTGGGTGAAATATTTCCACATGCATGACAGGGTGGCTCTGTTCTATATGTGAAAGGAAAAGTGAAACAGATGCTCGGTGATCAGAAAGACAGAGACTGTAACAGAGACTGGCTATATGTTCACCAATCCTGTTCCTTCTTCTCAAGCACAGAGTAACATTATATTCCCAACCTTCCTTTCAACTAGGCTGGGACCACAGTACCGAGACAAAAGTATGTGTGACATTTCCAGGCCTAGCCAAAAAATGTCTTGCACAAATGTCCATGCTGCCTCTCTCTTGCACATATGCATGGCTTCAACTGAAGGACTCTTAAGATGGTGAAGCCACATGATGGAAGGAGCTGGGATCTCCTCATGGAGGAGATCTTAACCTACATCAGAATGAAGCATGAGTGAAGGATCAATTTTATTTTGTGCTACTAAGATCTGAGGATTGTTTGTTATAGCAGCTGAATATTACCCTGACTAGTATACCTTCCAACCAACCAAGGAAGCTGGAACTCAAATCAAGATATGTCTGGTTCCACATCTTTGAAGTCATTGTTACTCAAACTGTGGTCAGCAGGTCAGCTACATCAAAAGCATCTGACGGCCGGGCGTGGTGGCTCATGCCTGTAATCCCAGCACTTTGGGAGGCCGACGTGGGCGGATCATGAGGTCAGGAGATGGAGACCATACTGGCCATGGTGAAACCCCACCTCTACTAAAATACGAAAGATTAGCTGGGTGTGGTAGCATGCGCCTGTGGTCCCAGCTACTCATGAGGCCGAAGCAGGGGAATCGCTTGAACCTGGGAGACGGAGGTTGCAGTGAGCCAAGATCATGCCACTGCACTGTAGCCTGGTGACAGAGCAAGGCTCCATCTCAAAAAAAATAAAAATCTGCCTTTGGTTAGCCATGCACATTCAGAGGGACTTCTGTGAAGAGAAAGCGAGTAACATGCCAACAAAATAATTCCTTCTTCTTTGAAGTACATGGCTTAACCTGAAGAGAATGACCAATAAGCCCTTGCTGGGAACAAGCAAGCTAACTAGTGAAAGAAACATTTCTGGACCCAACTGGGCACCAAGTAGAAGCCTAACAGATAAATTTGAATGAATACACATACAGGCAAGCCATATTTTCAAGACAAGAAGGTAAAGTCTGAAACTTCTTTATGCTCAGACCTACAGCTGCTGCTCTCAATGGGCTGGAAAGAAGTAAAGGCTACAAGAGCTCACACATACCTCAGTGTCATGAAGATAATTTGTTAGTCTCAAGTATACCCTGGTGTCTTGTGCAAATCTCCTGTAAATAACTGGTCCAATGAGTGTATCTCATTCAACAGGAACCAGCACCAGATATATACAGAGTTGTTGTATGGAAAAGACAAGAAACACATAAGGAAAAAATAGCAGATGAGGAATGCTCACTAGAAAAATATGTTAGAGCAGATAAAAACCGTGTAACATATCACCTCATTTCGGTGATAGTTCTACTTTTTGTCTTTTATGTTTTTCTTGGGATTTTCCATCTAATTTTTATCTTTTGTTTTGGTATATCTTATCTGCCCTATTGAAATGGGTGGATGCAGGAGACATCTACCATGTAACATACCTCTAACATGTTGCCATAAATTCAAAACACTTGATAAAAAATCATATCTATAAAATAATAGCTAAGGTCGGGCATGGTGGCACATGCCTGTGATCCCAGCAGCTTGAAAGGCTGAGGTGAGAGGATTGCTTAAGGCCAGGAGTTTGAGACCAGCCTGGGCAACATAGCGAGACCTCATCTCTACAATAATGATAATAATAATATAATGAAAGCTATATGCAGAAATACAACAGGGCAGATAAGATATACCAAAACAAAAGAAGGACACATCAAGTACCAGGAAAAATTGGGACTTGGTACTGAGTACATAGTAGACTCTCAGTAATACTTGCTGATTTTTAATTAAGGGCATTTCACAGTGAGGATTGCAAACAGCGTCTCTGCGCATCATTCTTCCTCCTCCATACTCGCCTGTATATACCACTAGCTGCAGCTGTAATGAAGGTTTAAGCTAGCTGCTTATTACCCGAGGCACATGGAAGCTTGGCTAAGCTCCCAGCATTCCAGAAGCAAAGGTGGCAATCAGGAGGACTGACATGCTCTAACAAGTCCACAAAAATATGTGTACAAGGAATTTTTAGTATGGTTTACAATAGTGAAAAAATGAAAACTTAAATGTCCATCAGTCTGGGGCTGGCTAAAGAAAGCACTGCACATTCATACAATGAGTACTAAGGATAATTACGCAGAAACACATTCATGAAATATCATTGAGTGGAAAAAGCATATTATAACACAAGATATATAGTCTAATTTCTTATTAAAAACTAATTGTATGGGGGGAAGCCTCTAAGAACCTAACCGAAGTATTAGACACTGGTTATCTCCTTGTGGTAGTGAATAGGTTGTTTTATTATTATTGGTGGTGCTGTTGTTAACTGTTTTTTTCTCATCTAATTGCACTTTCTGATCTTTCTACAATGAACTGTATTGTTTGATCAGTTCATTTTTTAAAAGATACTTTAAAAACGAAAGAAGAAAAACTACCTGACCATACTTCTACCACTACCTCCAAGCCCCACTGTACTGGAAACACATACTTGTTATGCTTTTTCCAAATCATCTAAGTATTTTGTTTGTATGGAATTATTTGATTCATATTCAGAGAAAAAGTGGTCTAAAATCCAATCTTTAAAAGGGTGACATAATTACATAGTAACTCTGTGCAGACCAGGAGAGCATTCACCATTTTATCTTCCTTTCCCAGCATTCTTGTAGTTGACCCAGTCCAGTGAAGAACTAGAAGATTCAGTAGGGCAAGTGTGGTCTCTCCTGTTGGACTCCAAAAGAGTGGGGCATTTGCTGTCTGCTTAAAATGAGGAAGTATCTTCAGTTAAAATTAAATTGTCTTCCAACTTAAATTATCTTTGCCTTCATTTTCTCCTTCAAAAGTTGCAATTTAAAAATGCAAATAGCCTTATTACTATTTTGGTTATAAAATTATTATATATTCATTGCAAAAAAATTGAGAAATACAGAGAGAAGAAGAGTACTCATAATTCTAGCACCTACAAATAAACACCATTAACATCTTGATGTACCTCCCTTCAATGTTTTTTCTATGTATGTATTACCAGTTTTCCAAATTCTGTTCTGTGAACCAACACTTCTGTTTTAATAAAAGTCACGAAACAGTGAGGGCTCTATGGTCAGTTATGTTTGGGAAATGCTGGATTAAACAAATTTAAATTTCTTTGCTCCAGGACTTCCAGGAACTTTTAACAGGCTAATATTAACCTCCACAAGAGAATATAATATATAGTATTTCCCAAACTAATTTAAACATGAGATTTT